CCACTGTGGTGCGAAATAAGAAAAAAAATCTAAGTAAATAAAGAAGAGTGAGCACGCAAGGGGATTCTAACCCAGGTCCCTTGCCTGCCAGCCTAGTATTCCACCACAGAGCCTGCTGACGTTTTGGTTTTCTATATTTTCGGTTGAACATCACGCACAAGGTCAAAAATGAATATATTACAATGCACAACAAACAATAAAGAACACTACTACGGCCATCAAGATTGCTGAAGGACACCGCGCTTTCAAATTCCTTCATAGTAAGCAGTGATTCAACCCTTTTTAACTATCAAGGCACAGATTCATTTGTTTTTACTACCTCGACAAACCTTGCTACACTTTCTTTAAAGGGCCAGTAAACAGGCTCCGACTTTTTTTTTACACCCCCCATACAAGCTCGGCAATTCGTAGATTAGACCAGAGGGATCACGTTTTCTGAATATTACAGCACTGCACGCCGCGCAGAGCCTGTATTTTGAAAACAATTCTCGCGCATCTTTTCTAAGCCTAACCGACCCCCTTGCACGCGCAGTGACCTCATCTCGGCAATCGGCGACGTCGCGCAGCTCGCCTATTGGTCTAAATCAGGAGTGAAAAACAGTACTGCAGTAAACGTCAGTTCCTGTTCCCACTCAACAGCTACGAAACTGCCCCTTGTTTCTTGGCACTGCGGTGAAAGAAGCAGTCTCGTAGTCGTCACGTGCACGTGTACACTCATCACTCAACTACAGCGCCTGTGCGCACCTACGAGCGTACTTCACCCTTGACATGAGCAACTCGGGTTAAGAGCGTTTCTCTGTCGTCTGCTGCAAATCGAGCGACTAGGCAGCGGAAAAGCATTAGCACCGGGTGCCTCACGATGGAGTCCTGCGCGCTGCATGGCTGAAGCGAATCGGCCATTCGGCGACGTACGTCGAGGGCTGATCCTTTGTGGTCGACACTTCGCACCTGACGCTTACATGGTTGACCAGGGGCTAGTCCGGCAAACAGTAAACAAACAACAACGCTTCGCAGCAAGAGGAAGTGCCTTACGACTGATCGAGTTCACCGATGACGTCCATCTCGGACGTGGTGTCACGTTGCCGAAGTGGGCAGAGTCACGACAATGGGAAACGCCTTCCCCTTCATGGAAGGGAGAAAGGGGGCGAGGCCGCGTGAAAATTTCAAACCAGCTTAAACAGATGTTCTAACCCCTGTAACTTCCTTTATATAGCATGTACTCGCAAAATTCTTGCGGCAGCAAGTTCGCAAAAAAGTGCACATATATCTCTTTTTAAATATTTTTGGACCTCAGGACTGTTCACAGGCCCTTTAAACTGCTGTCTTGCGGGTCTCCGGTGAGGGCCACAGTGAAATCCAGCTATTCTAGAGCTTCACCTAGCTATTCGATTACTTAAAGCAGTTACAATGCTGTGTATATTCAGTTAACATCATGTCATGTTTTATGCGTAAAAACTGGAATGTAACAGATTAATTTAGTATAAAATAGGCCGTATAACTCATCGGCTGTAAGCTCTTCTCACCACCGGCGAACGCCATTTTGCTATGATGTGTGTGACATCACGAACCATAAGCAGCAGTGCCAGCGTAAATAGCACCTACCACGCGCGATCAGTGTGTTCAATAATTTGCGAGTATTGCTTGCCGCGTGTCCGCACGTGTCAGCGGGTTGCAAGAGCTGCGGCGTGCCACCGGTAACATCGCCATGTCGTCGGCCCCATCACCTCACAATTGGGGCAATGGTTCACCGAGCAGCAGAAGCGGCGGTGACGTCGTGTGCCCTGTGCATTTTGACCCAGTGAGGAAAACAGCGTCGACGACAAGGTGAACCCAAAGGCCAACGATGACCAATCATGTACGTGTTGTCCGTTTGGTTTGGGTCCCAGGACACACTGGACTAACACCAAATGAAGCAGCAGACAAACTGGCGACAGCATCAGTTAAAGGTCCCGTCCTGAATACTCTAAGACTGTACTGCCTATACACAATCACGCGATTTCAAAATTTTTGTACACGTCAGGAACACGCCAACTCTTCTGTGCACAAAGGAGCAGACTTTCAGCACCTCAAGTTTCTATGGTACAGCTATTGGTGTGCAACAACATAATTTGAAGTGACATCTACTAAATTGTGCTGCATCATTTTACCTTTATATTTTGTTCATACAGACCTGGCTTTGTTAAATCCCCTCAATGTTACTATTGTACGCAAGCAGAAACTATAGGACACTTTTTTCGACAAAATACCACAGGTATCATATTTAAGGCGAGAACTTCCGACACCAGCTCCTTGAAAACATGGGCTCGAGCTGTCTGAAACGGTTTTACTTTCCCTATGGGCATCGCCACTGGGTCATTGCAACAAGGGCGTAAATGGAGCAGTATATAACTATTTATTGGAATTAAACCTGCAACTACGCAAACAAAACAAGTACCTATTTATTACTTTTTTCGCCATTATATATTTCATGTATTTACTATACACTTTGCTACTTCTATTTTTTTCTTCTATAACAGTTCATAGTAGACTGTTAGAACAACTTATATTTTCGTTTACCTAAAAAATTATTGAGGCACCCCCCCACCCCTGTTTTTTCCCGAAATTCCACTGCAGCATAAGTCGTGGCTAGTACACCGTGTTGCGTCAAGCCATTCCTCTTGAGTACAACCGACCAACCAACAACCTTGGTGTAGTGGCAGATGTTGCTGACGGCCTTCCGCAATAATAAGTAACTTTATTTCAAGCGTGTCAAGTTGACAGGCGAGCTCTAGGAACGGGGTTCTATTGACGCTACATTCGCTAGCAAGTCTTACTTTCCGCAGTGCAATTGGTAAAGCGTGAAGATTTTCGGTTGCTAGAATACATGCATGCGTGAGTTTCAGTGCTGAACATCATATATAAGTAGCCGGAACAATGTTGCAAGTTGCGACTGTTGTTTTTGAATTAGGTGTTGCGTGTGGTATTTGTACACATTATCCGAAGCGAACGGCAGGTCAATGCGGCGCTAGTGTTACTTATGATATAAATTTTGGCCAAATATTTGTCTAAACTCTGACGATTCAATTCGATTCCGGTAAAGTATTAGCAAGTGTGAGGCTTAACCTGCGAGGAGTTTTGATAAACGTTTATCCGTAGTGGCACGGTGCCCAACCAATACAGGTGCTGACAGGTATTTAAACACCCCGCAATGCTTTGAAAAGCGCAATCCCAGCGCGTCCCGGTAATGTTCGGGCCATTATCAGTTATCTCGTAGAAGGCGCTATGAGGAGTGGGGTCAGCTGTCTTGGTCTGGTAAGTGTTCTGTGTCTTGGAGTCAGCAACACGCTCGACAGAATGGTGCATGCTGCTGATCTTGGGTCTTTTTGTTGGCATGTGTGACCGCATTGTTTTGAAGCCAGGTTTTCTTCTTCGTTTATGTGCGATTCTATTCTGTCGACGATGGTGACATGAAATTTCTGAAAGGTTCTTGAAATGGCTAGAATGTGTGTTTTGTACCAAATCGACATTCTCAATAAGAACTTGTGTGGAGCGTGTTCCTCTATTTAAAGGGCCGTCTGACGGTGATCATTCACATAAATATGTATGCGAATTTGCATCGCATCATCTAGCCATGAAGAACCGCATTGCTTTACTGTGCTGTATATGAAATACTTGCGTGGTTCAAATATCTATATATATCGTGCAACATTTGCTTTGCTCTTGTCTCTTTGTTATGGAATATTTCCGCATTTTAAATATTTATTTATATCGCGTTCTCATTGAACAAGCGTAAATGCTTCAATAATTTCCTTAGTAAATGAACGCATTCCGAAGTTCCTTGCATTTTTTCGTACGGGGAAGTGTTTTGACGGAGGAAAAGCGCTGGCTACAATTTCTTAAATTTATTTTTTCTTTGCTTCGAGCAATAGTGCGAACAGACGAAAATACCTGTGCCTGTGAGAGGAACTAAATGTGTTAATGACGTTCACACCCCGCACAAGGCAATTTCGTGTCAATGAATTCTTAAACCAGGTAAAATTCTACCTTTTAATCTGAAAATGAAATTTAATTCGTGATTTAGGTGTTACACCACTTGAAATGAAAACGTTGGGGAGGCAGAGGAATTTGAATGCGCCAGCACTGCTCTCTGGGTACGTTGGCCACGGCACCATCTGATGGCTCGTAGCACAGCCTGCCGCGAGACCAAACACTATCTGGACGCTCAGGCGCGCTCAGTGTCAACACCTGATTACTCTTACACCATGGTAGCGCAAACGGCGTACGCGCTGGAAATTCACAGGAAACTTTTTGATCTCAAACAGATTGACGAAAATTCTTTGCTGCAAGTACCAGCGCTACATGGGTCACGTGGTAGAATTGTTTCAACGTTTCAACTGCTACAAGTTATCTAGTTCGAGTGGGAAGCTGAACAACGCAGAACAAGCTCGATTGCAAGCGCAACTGCCCGTGGAACACGATCGTCCTCCAGAATGCAGACCATGCTGCATATCGCGCAGCAAGCAGCTAGTTACATCAAGATTAGCGTGCACCTAAGTCTCGCCCAATTCTCAGGCTGCTAACCCGTTCAGAAAAACATGTGAATATAAATGAACTACACGACCAAATGCGCTAATATTTTGCCAGCTTGTCTGTGCACGTACAAGGACAACTCAGACAACGCAGATTATGGTCGAAAGTTTGGTGTCAAGGCCCCCTTAAAAGAACTCACTCTGCCAATAGTAATTGGCTACAGTTACAGCATGTGTAACCTAACAGTGTATCTACTATCAGGGAATTCCACATGTATTGATTAAAGTACCGTTAATTTCCAGAATTCATGCCTATTAATATTTTACCTATTTGTTTCTGAGTTATAGCGCCTCGCTCGCACCATTTGCCACGACGCTTCTCAGCTACCCAAATTGGTTACACGTAAATATCGAGACTAGATTTATGACGACGCAGAGTTGTCATCGTCTTCCATCATTTCTTCTTGAAAATGGCAATATTGCTTCCTGCAGGACATTGTCCGACCATTGCATTGGAGTTATGAATGCACAAAACTATCTGAGAGACATAAGGAAATTTCCTGGACAGACTATACGTAAGAAATATTACTGCCAGAAACTCATGGGAAACACTAAGGAATCAAAAAAGGTCTTCGTGAAAAAGGTGAGAATGAAAGCTAACCACTTTGCATCTTTCGTGCATCAGTGAATAAACCATACCGGTCGTGACACAATAATTATGATTCGTGCTTCAGATACGCAAAGTTTTAGCGAAAATACGTGGCAACGCGCGCTCTCGAATACAGGCTGCATAATACTCATATCAGCTTCGCCATATTTTTTATAGCCACGTACGTTAGTTAAATGTTGCAGTCTGACTTTCACAGTTGAAATGTTATTTTTCGTGTGTGTAGCATTCGTCAGTGCTTTTGTGAAAAGCGCAGAAATTCGTGCGGGCTCGCGATTTGCTCTTCCAAAACTTGGCCGAGGTTACGCCACTTGTTTTTGTGCCTTTGTTGATAAATGGTAGCACACTACAAGCAACTCGCTCTTTCGCGGATTTTAGAGCGAAATGTTCTCCGCGCCCAGATAAACGTGGTGAGTGACGCACTGTTCGTGTTGTCAAAGTCATTCAGTGGTGGGTATTCTCCAGATTGCTTTCAGCCGTGATGTTGAAAAAAATCATCTTGATGACGAGGGTTGTTTAGTAGACGTAGAAGGATGTTAATGCGTCGAGAGTGATAGCGGTGATGAACGATGACCTGCTAACTCGCAAGGAACGACTTGCACTTAACATCCCCTCGTGCGCTAATGTTTTGCACGCTCGTAAGTTTCTTCATATTTATTTTATGATATAGCTTAGTGAGGCAAAATAAAACCATAGTTCTTTTTCTGCGTGCATTGCATGCAGCCAAATTACTGTCAATATTATGGAGCACAGAATGCCGCCAAAACACTCGAGCTTGACCACCAAAACGAAATAGAGCAATCGAACGTGCAGTTACAACTACAATCCATGCCTCTCTGCTAACCTTTCCTGCACTTCACAAGTGCCTTCCGAGTGACGTTGCTGCTCGACAAAGTTTCTTGATATGTGGGGTTTAACGTCCCAAAACCACCATATGATTATGAGAGACGCCGTAGTGGAGGGCTCCGGAAATTTAGACCACCTGGGGTTCTTTAACGTGCACCCAAATCTGAGCACACGGGCCTACAACATTTCCGCCTCCATCGGAAATGCAGCCGCCGCAGCCGGGATTCGAACCCGTGCCCTGCGGGTCAGCAGCCGAGTACCTTAGCCACTAGACCACCGCGGCGGGGCTCGACAAAGTTTCTTAATTTCAACGCTGAGAAAAACATCCGTGTCTATTCTTTCCGGTATTCAGGTTTTGATCGCGCTTATAGAACCTTTATGTAACATGCGAGTACAGTCAAGTGCGCATGATCAGACTCTCAGCATGGCTGTGACACAAGTGGTACTTGATGAAAAGCTAAATTCTTGCGTTCAGTTGAAAAAGCAATTCCACGTTGCAGACAGCTCAAGTATTGACGACGGCGTCTTTCAGTCTCATGCAGTTGCAATGGCACGCTACTCACTAGTGGCCTACTACTGTGGCAAATCAGTCAGCCAGGCTCGGTAGTAATTACCCCGGAGTGCCATTAAGTTCACACGTCAGTTGTAGTTGGCGGAGTTTTTTGTGACATGCAAAGGAATACGCAATAAATCACGGATGCACCGTCAATTAGCTCAAAACAATATCATTTGAATTGCAGCAAACAATGGGATAGCGAACACTGCGCAGTTCCTATCAACTGGGGAAGTACATTGGTCAAATATAAATCATTTGACGATCAATTCGTTCGATGAAAGCCGCATGAGGCGTATGTCCATGCGTACTATCTTTACCTGGGTGACTTCACGGGTTGACCTTCCTTCCGCAGCTATCTTCGATTGCACAGTGCGCTACCTATAGCTCGTAAGCATATCGAATATCTAAATCTCAGGGTAGCTGATGTCCACTGCCGTGACAAAGGCAAGCAGCAAATGCTTAGGTATGCACTAAAAAGCAAAGCACATGAATGAACCATCGCGCCCCAGGTCTGACACACGGCTTCAGTGGAAGAAACTTCATTTTTAGCTGACGCAATCATCTCGCAAGTATCATTAGAGAGGGGCCTTTGTAAATCGGATGTACGCACGTTAGACAATACCCTGGAAAACTCTCCAACGAGAAAAAATACACGATTAAGAAGCGTCATTACATAAAAACCTTGAACACCCCAGACCAACTGTAAATTGCGCAGCCTTCGAAGTTCATCGATATTAGTAAGGCAGCCTAAATAAGGAAGTATATCACGGGCCGAGCTCAATACGGTTTAAATGTCAGAAGAAAACGAGGCCGCATAGACAAAACTTCGTTAAAGCAAGAGGTAGTTGAATGCTTTAAGATGCACTGAACGCAGTGACACTTTCGACATGCAGGATCTGTTATGCAAGTATAACATAACTACACACACACATACACACACATCTATAAATATATATATATATATTATTATGAGGAAGAGCTTTATTTGGGACGAGCTCGAGCTGGCAGCTATTAATGATGGTATCTATAGATGAGGAAATTATACAAATGATGATGACACGTCCAACTGATAACGAAGTGTTGGTGACTGCGCTCACACTAATTCCCTGTCCCGCTGGAAGCGGCGTCCTGGCCGCTCGTGCGACAATATTAGGAATTGCGTCGGGTATACAGCTGCAGTCGAGAAACGTGCACAATTTCTGTCCCACGGCAACGACAGTCGGAGAGAGCATTAAGTGATGAGATACGGTAATAAGCGGGGGACGTTTGTTCAATCATTATTTAAGGTCCTATAAAACGACTGAGGAATTTTTCACATAATCCTGGCACACGCACAAAAGTCCAGAGAAGAACTTCGTCTCCTGGAGAAAAGTGGACAGCACATTGAGTTGAGTCGTGGCAAGAATTTTGAGCTTCCTGAGACATGCTGGTGTTAATTCAGGTCAGATGATGGCAGTGCTTGATGTGGGGCAAAAAAGTGCGGATAAAGGGCCTGCTGAGTTAGCAGGAGCCGAAAGGAAGGAGAGGTCGCGAGTTACACTTGGAGAGCAGCCATAAACCAGAAAACAGGGAGAAAAGCCGGTGATGCGTTGCGTAGCCGCATTGTAGGCAAACGTTACGAATGGAAAAATGGCGTCCCAGTTCGTGTGGTCAGGGTTGGCGTACTTGACAATCATGTCCAAGAGAGAACAATAAAGCGTTCTGTCAAGCCATTTGTTAGTGGATGATAAATAGAAGTTGTCTTGTGGATGGTGTTGGCGGTGCGTAATAACCTCAGCAACAATAGAAGAAAGGAAGACCTTGCCGCGGTCGCTGAGCAGAACACGTGGAGCTCCACGGCGTAAAAATATGTTACGCAGAAAAAAGGGCTAATTCAGTGGCTGCAAAAGCGTGCAGCGAGGCAGTTTTGGCGTAACGAGTCAGGTGGTCAAGAGCCGTCACAATCCAACAATTTCTACTGGAGGTCACGTGAAGGTGGCCGTACAAGTCTATCCCGACGACTTCGAATGGCAAAGCGGGACAAAAAAGAAGTTGGAGAAAGCCAGAAGGAGCATTAGTGGGTCGTTTCCGCCATTCACATAAGGCACACGAATAAACTTTTGGCAATGCTGAATGAGAGGCCAGCCCAGGTGAACCCACTGCGTATTTTGTCGTACGTTTTGTGACAGACGAGATGCCCTGCAGCAGGATCATCGTGGAACGTCTCAAGAACCTGACGTTGTAGACAACGTGGTATAACAGGGACCCATTTGTTTCCTTTAACGTGGTAAATATAGCGATGTAAAACACCATCGTGAAGCTTGAATTGTTTCAATTGTCGACGAAGTCGGGCGTTCGTAGGAGCGGATGTGCCTTCTAAGCCTGCTGTCATGGAGCGGCAGTAAGGATCAATGCGTTGATGCGACACAAGGGTAGATGGGCGGCCGGATTTTAGCCAACTGAGACCCGCGATGGGTAACGCCGTGGTGGAAGTTGGTGACGGTGGGCTATCACGGTAGGGTAGAGGGAAGGCGAGTGAGAGCATCAGCATCTTGGTGCTTCTTACCAGACCTATACACAAAATCAAAGTTGTGCTCTGGTAAACGAAGCGCCAAGACGGCCCGATAAATTCTTTAGCGACGAAAGCCAGCACAATGCATTGTGGTCGGTGCCGACTGTGAAGGGGCGGCCGTGGAGGCGTGGACAAAATTTTCGTACCCCCAATACAAGAGCGAGGCACTCTTGTTCGGTTATTGTGTAATTTTTTGGCAACAGTCAAATCACGACTGGCGTAAGCGATGACACGTTCGAGTGTGGTGTTGTCACGCTTCAGTAGCACGGCACCGAGACCATGACCACTGGTGTGAGTAGGAAGAATGGTGGGTGCACCTGGAACGGAGTGACATAGTACCGGGTCCGATGTCAGGGCTTGTTTTACCGCCAGGAAAGCCTTTTCACAGTCTTCGGACCAGAAGAATGCCGTGTTACTTGCGAGCAGTTGATGAAGCGGAGATACAAGCCTTGCGCAATTGCGTATCAAGCACCGGAAGTAGGATGCCAAGTCGACAAAACTGTGAAGGTCTTTTCGACGCAATGGACGGGAAAACTTGAGGACGGCGGCAAGCTTCTCAGGATCCGGTCGAATACCATCATTGCTGACTGAGTGCCCTGGAACCTTGATCGTATTGCTTGCGAGTTAAGGTGCAGTTTTTTGTATTCAGCTGTAAACCAGCTTTTGCAAGGCATCATAGGACTTGTTCGAAACGTTGCAGATCTTGCGAAAACGTAGATAAAAACACTATGATGTCGTGGAGGTAGCATAAGCAGGTTTTCCACTTCAGGCCACGCAGTACGCTATCGATCATACTTTCAAAGGTAGCGGGCGTGTTACAAAGTTCGTAAGACTTTACGTTAAATTTATATAGCCCATCTGGGGTACTTAAAAATGTGTTCTCTTTGTCAGATGCGGTATTTCGCAGTAGTCAGATCACAGGTCAAGACTGGAAAAATACTCTGCTCCATGCAACGAATCTTGTGCTTCGTCGATTCCTGGGAGACGGTAAACATCTTTGCGCGTTATTTTGTTCAGATCCCG